TTCTGCGGCGACAAGGATGCCGAGGGCAGAAGCTGGTGCCCGGACTGCGTGACGGGTGAGGCCCGCGGGGTGTACCGGGGCGGGCGGGACGCCCGGCTCCCCGCTGGGGGGTCCTCGGCGGGCGCAGGGGCAGACGTGGCCGGCGGCGCCCCGAGCGGCAGGGAAGCGCCCTTCTTCGGCCCTCGCAGGGCCCCCAGCAGCGGCGGAGCGACTCCGGTGGCGGGGCGCCCTCGGCGCTCAGCCCCGCGGGGACCGTGCTAACTGCCCTCGGCCGGCTGCGCGGCGGGGTGTCTCTGCCCGCGGGTACGCGCTGTCTCTCTCCCGTTTGCCCGAGGAAGCCGGAGAGGCCCCGGGTGCCCTTCCTGGAACATGTAAGGTCGTCCACTAGCAGCTCCAGGTGCAGAGTGGCCTCACAACATCCTGCCTCCGTACCCAGCCTCCATTTTCGAGGATCGTGAGCAGACTGGGTGACGTTCAGGTTTCAAGCTCTAGCTGCAGTTACCAAGCTCGTGAATCTAACCGGCAGCGTAGGCTGTGACTAGGAGCTGGCTAAAGCTGCTGCCTCACTAACAAGCTGTCCGTGCTGCTCTCGGTTTCGCTAGCCACATTCCACTGAATGGCATGTAATGTCACATGTTTGGCGGAGGCTGGTACAAAGGCCCAGCAATTACATGTGAATCTTACAATCAGTTAATTCACCTCTACTTTACATGTCAAGAGGCGCATGTCAAGTGACCTTACCAGTCAGTATCTGGCAGTAGAATATGAAGGCAGTTCCTCAGAAAACATTGCACTGAACTTTCTAGCTCATACATGCCAGAGTACATATGGCAACTACTTACCGCTGTTCTGATGGGCTTTCATGCAGACAGGAGACAACGATTATTTTTCTTACTTGTTAAAGCAGAAATTGGCCTTTACTCAGACCAGTCCCTTCAACATTAAGGATGTAAATTCTGCAAAGCTTGTGGATAACCAGATGAAACAAAATACAGATCTCTACCTGAAGTAGACAAAACATTAATTAGCAGCCTTGCTGGTCAAAGTAGATCCGTGTGATTCTGTAGCACAGTAAAAGTATTAAGTACTAATAGATTTTAAAAATTACTCTCTAGCTGAACCAGTTGTGAGGAGGGAACTTCATAACATGCCTGATGAGTCCGTATTCATCTACTGCCTAGTGGGAGACAGAGCCTAGTAAGTAACTGTTTTAATGCCAACAACTGATATAACTTTGCTATTCGTGGACTGGAGGTTAACCTACCTGTTGGAACAACTGACTGAACTATCCTTTTCTGCAAGGAATGAAGCATTTTTTTTGAGTTTTGAGGTCTACACCATCCCTAATGTGAACTATCTGCATGCTTGTTCTAGAAGTGGGTTGGGGAGGTGCAAGGCAAAACCCTTTGAATCATCCTTTTGAAGGAATTTTAACAGGCTAATTTCAAACTGCACCTCTACAAGCTGTGCTTAACCCCTTCTTCCTGAACAGCTGGAAAGATCCCAACAATGAATTCAGGAAGAATCTGAAACTAACAGGAGTGCCTACACTACTTAAATATGGAACAGTAAGTGATTTATTGTATGTTCTGGATCTACAGGCATTCAGATGGGAAACTGGCAGAAGCTTATGGCTGTAAATGAATTAGTCATGCATGTTTTCTGATACCCTCTCATTTAAAAAGAGCAGACAATTAGGAACAGCTCTTCTGCTCCCACCCATGCAGTCTTCCTGGCCCAAACAGTTCCTCAAGAGAGAACCACTCCGCTTTCTGTAGAATGTTGTCTATAATAAACATATAGTAAAGAAAATACGTACACTTAGCATGTAGTGGTTGAGGGGTAGAGAAAATTCTTAGCAACATATTATTAGCTTCCTGATTTGCAGCTCCTCAAGTTTTAAAAAAATCCAAATGCTGAATTACGGGAGTGAAACAAGGTTATATGCAGTATACTCTTGATTCGAACAGACTACAGCTCAAGTTTTAACTTGTGCGTATTATTTAAATTGGCAATTACTTTCTTAGAAATGCCTCTTCCAAGGCCAGAAAACCCTCAGGCATTTTTCAGTATTCTTACCTTGCTTGCTCCACGCTCCCCCCGCTCCCCCCTCCCCCCCAGGAAAAACAATTGCTGGAGTATGGCTAATGTTAGCATGCACAAATGGCTCTAGTCTAGAACAGGTTTTTGAATTGCCGCTAAAACATCTTAACTTTTCTTTCAGCCTCAGAAGCTGGTTGAAGAAGAATGTTTTAAAGCAGAGCTTGTGCGTATGTTGTTTACTGAAGACTAAATCCTCCAGTAGTCAATCATTTACGAAGATGTTAAACTCAAGTTATTTGCAGTGTCCTTTCAAGGAATCCTTAACCTTTTTTAAACTTTCATGGTTAATTACTTCAGACTAGTCAAGATAAATGTCATTAAATTCTAGGTCCAAACCTTCCACTAAAATCCTGCAACAAAACACTGTATCTTTCCTTTCATGTTTAAATAAACTTGAGTTTGCAAACAGTCCTTTCCAAAGGAGCAGCTCATGTT